ACAGTATCCTTTGTAAAATAAACATGTGTAGCACATGGTGCGAAAATCATTACGGACAACTGGTTTGACCAGAGATAAACCAGAATTGGAGGCTTGTGCGATCTGGATGTAAAAAATGATTGAAGAGACGATAAACCAGTTGGGACAGGTTAGCCTGTGTGTTGTGACAAACATGGGTCAAATAAAGGTCCCATTACTCGTGCGGAGGCCTATTGTGCCTATTGTGTCATAATACACATAAAAATTGCACACGCAGGGGCTCGAGCTTTGGGTCAGCTGGATGGAGTTTAACTCCATTGGCCACCATGCCAAGCAGCTGGTTGTGTCCTATGGGGAACATGCAATTTAAATAAATAGTTTTGAACCAGCCAAACTGGCAGTCAGACCACTTGGCCGGTCATCGGTGAACCAGGGGCCTGAATGGTTAAGTGACCAGTCCAAGTTTTCTACTATGATGCAGCACACCAAAATCAGCAACAATCATAAATAAAAAATGGGTTCACATATCAGCGGAAGGCTAAAGTTTGATTTTTTTTAAAAAAAAAAAAGAAACAGCCAAGTTATACAGTACTAAATGTAAATATACAGCAAAAAAAGTTTGGTATGACGAAAAGTGACTGTACTTTAGCCATTATATGAAACATAAATTAAACATTATTATAATTTTCCAATCTTGTTCAAACTTCCATTATAAACTGAAATCCCCATTTCAAAATTATACTATCCATACTTCACTGCACAAAAAAATACTAAACTTAATTCAAATAGGGAACCTATTGCTTTTTATATATAATACAAACTTGAATTTCAAAATTAGAAAATATTGCTCCATTCCTTATTGGAATGCAACAATCATTCATAGACTAAAAATGTAAACAATTGATTTTTTTACCATTACCACGTATCAGGTGTTTCAACATGAATGTTAGCCATTGGATCTGTGAACAATGTATAGTTCACAATGACTTGGCGTACTATAAAAAGTCCAATAGACAAACAATATAAACTTGACTTTAGCATGAAACATTTTAGATATGTTAATTCTCCAGTACATGTGAGGTATTCAATATGTGGCAGAAAATGAATTACTGGTTAATGCCAGTAGTAGGTGTATGTGATTTGGATGGCAATGGGTTAGTTCCCTCCAAGAAGGCAAAATTAAAAAAAAGGCTTCAATGAACCCAGGATGGGAGTACTCTGAGAATTTAGGGATGTCTTGACGATATGTAATAATAGGCCTAAACAAATATTTTTTCAGAATTTTCTCACCCACTCAGTGTACAAGTTTCATGTGCATGCACACTTGCAGCTGGAGGAGCCTGCATGCCATCCAGTTCTTCACTGGGTTTGGCAAAACGGGATGACCCGGTCTTCAATACCCCTACTTTGGAAGCTTACAATAGAAAAGTAGGCTAGGGAGTTTTTTTGGTGTCATTTTCATGCAAGGGGCTCTTTTGAGTGATACCAGCACTTATCATTTGCTCAAAAAAGTGATTGGGTTATGGCATATATCTTTTCATTATGTCAGCTATAACAAGATTGAACAGAGCAATTCTGAATTCCACATCTTTAACAAATTTTATATTTAAAAACAGTATCTGCATAGTTTTCCCATAGTTCAGTGCGCAATGTGGACATCACAATTCCTGAATGTTCATCAACAATTTGAACATAACTTGGGAACAGACAAAACACAAATTCACCGAACATGCTACTACACAATATATCCAGGCAAAAACATTGTTACTCATTTAGTTTGGTAATAGAATTTACAGAAGATTACATATACTAGCAACAATGCAATCCCACGTAGGTATCAATTTTCATTAAAAAGAAGATCAGGTACCAACCTAAAAATGTGATCACTAGAGAACTTAACAATACATTTCATCACTGTATATCAAATGCAATTTGATAGATCAGCACTCAAACCAAGGCATTCGACTATAGCTAAGCATAAAAACCGATAAGCCACAAGAGATTGACTGTAGTGACAAACATTGTCACTTCAGTGACGGCTTTCTATAACAGAAGTACCTAAGACTCAGTAGTAACAGACTGTAAGACAATAGAACATGCCATTTTAGAACAGCATGCCATTTGAAAACAGCAAAACATATTGATCACTATCTAAGTAATCAAATATGGCTATCTGTGTTGAACTCTAAAGCTTAGATGGTGATATCATGGGGGGAAATAAACCAAATTATCAAAAAAAATAAAGAGGGGGGTGAAGAACATGCTGACCTGTTGAGTGTTGGGATCAATGTTGAACACTTTTGTAGGGCTACTCTCCACCAAATTTCGTTTTTCCTCGAGTGTCAATGTTTCCATGAGTTCTTCATTGATACGTATTTCAGGCTCATACATGAAAGTCACAGTAGCGGCGGGGGACCACTTGGCATGGTCCTTGCCAATTCCCTTCCTAGCAATTGCTCGGAGCCTGAGCTCTTGGCCCCGACGCAGCTTTACAATTAGTATGCCCCTGGAATTAAAATATTATAGGTTGGTTGTTTGTAAGTATTAGTTCAGAAAGAGAGTACACTTACAGCTTTTATGGCATTTAAAAGAAAATATAAGATAATAAAATACTAGCAGATGCTCCTAATCTAACTAGGACAATTTTGAGAACAGAAAATACATGTATGTCGGCATCATCCAAATATAAGACTGGAACATGACCTGCGGTCTAAACATGGAACTGATATAGGAATATTCGCCACATTAGTTATGTTAATTTGGAATTTTGGGCATTTGCTCAATGCTTCACATAGGAATGAAAAATGGAAGCAAATGAACATATGGTGTACTTGTAACAAAAGCCTCGGATAAGAGATCAGTGCTAGACCTGGATCCGTTTGGTTTGGGCGGAGCTTTTAGGGGGATTGGGAGTTTAGAGGGATGAGGTTATTAACTGTTCTGTTTGGTTGGGAAACATGAGTTTGGGTGGGATGGGGATAGAGAAAAATTGAGGGAGGAACTCCCTCCTTTCTAATACCTGGGTAGAGGGTGGTAATTGGGAAGGAACTCCTTTACTTTACCTAAACAAATCTCAACCATCCATTTTCATTTAAGATCTAATCTATAGCTAAACTCCTTATCGATTCCCACCATCTCTGCCAAACAAGAGATTGGGACTAAAAAGCAAATTTCCATGTTAATCTCACCAACAATTCCCTCATCTAAACTCCCAATCCTCTTCCCTAAAGTTGCCAAACAAGATAGTCTATAATGTTAAAAATAGAGTCAACCTGTTCCTAACAGCATTTTGAACTGAAATAAACTTGCAATAATAGCCATAATGGGGCAATAGGGGAGGGGGGGTTACCTCTGGTCAGCAGCAGCGGCGGTGTCGAAGGGTTCAGTTCCGCCGAGGGCGTGCTGGTAGGCCCTAGCCTGGTCGACGGGGCAGACCTTGGGGTCGGTGGAGCGGAGGTCGTTGGAGGTGACCTCGAGGGTCTGGTCGGAGTCGGTGGCGCGGGCGGCGAGGTGGAACTCGACGGAGCAGTACTCGCAGGAGCCGTCGCCGTCGCAGGCGTCGCAGTCGCGGGAGAAGCGCATGGCCATGGCGGCGGCGGAGGTGAGGGGGATGAGGCCGAGGCGGTGGGCGATGAACTCGTCGTTGAGGACGGAGGAGTTGACCTCGATCTCGACGAGGTCGATGGCGACGGTGGGGACCTCGGCGATCATGACGCGGCGGAGGGCGTTGGCCATGCTGGCGTCGGTGTCGCGGAGCTCGAACTTGGCGTAGTCGTCCTTCAGCTCGCGGATCCGCACCCGCGGGAACCGCTGGTACGACACGCCGCCTGCCGCCCGCTCCATGATCCTTCCGCCGCCGCCGCCGGAGACAATCCTAGGGTTTCGCCGCAAACAACACAACTACACAAGGAGGGGATGGGACGGGAGGGTTTTTGATTTGGGGAAAAACCAACACCCAAACCCAACACTATAGGCCGAGGGAGGAGGGAGGGGTTACCCTCTTCATTTGGAGCTTGTATTGCTCTTGCGGCTGCGGGTGGGGCCATCTGGCAGTCTCGGTTCGCGGTGTCTCATCTCATGGTTTTTTTTCTCTTTTCTTTTTTTTTACAAAAATAAAATACACTGCTGGACCTTAAACTTGAACCATCTACGTGAGATGCATATATAGATCACTAATTATAGTTTACCCAAAATCCAAAGTGAAAATAACTCAGTTCGGGTACTGACATAGTCATCCACGATGATGATTAGAATTTTAAATTAGACCCCTCCCTCCTATAGTATAGTACCAAATCGACTTCCTCTTTGAGGTCTTGACAAACGGCGACAGCGATATATCCGTTGCTCCTCTCTTTCGAGACTTTGTCTAGGCACCCCTCCCCCCTTGCCAAAACTTTCCAAGCATTTGGTGCAAGCCCGCCCGCTAGATCTATATTCTTTCATCTTTTGTTGGCGTCCTAGCTTCCGCAAGTTGGCTACGTCAGAGGGCCTAGGGGAGAGAGCGGTTCCATCTTCTCTCTCACCCTCTCTCCTTCAATCCCAAAGATTTGGATGGAGCATGGTTTTATGTCGGTTGTAAGGGTCGGTTTTGGGTGGTATCGGATGTGTTCCATTGTTGGTTTAGTGGCGCCGATCTGGTGCTAGCCTTTTTCTGGATCTGTACGTTGGCGTTATTGGTGTGTGATTGGTGCTCAAAACATTGTTTGTTAGGTAACACAGTTTTATTCGAGTTTTGTTTAAAATATTTCTAAATTATTTGCTATAACACGCGGGTAGGCACTAGTTATTATTACGAGCAGCTAAAAAAAAAGTCAATAAGAAGTCGGGAATGCAACTATGCAACCAAATTATTTATGTTTTCCCCCCGAAGAAAAAGGATGGCAGTACGATCGTAAGCAATGATGCTGAAAAATTGTAGACTTTGGTATCGTCTCAACATCAATCAATCAATCAATCAATTGCAAACTTTTGTTTCCATCCGATCCGATGGCGTACGTGTCTTTAACTAGTAGTACGTGGAGTAATCCTAATTAATTATCTGCAGCTCGATCAAAGTTGGGAAGCAGAATTAATACACACACTCCATCTCCATGGCACCCACGCCGTTGTTCCTCCTCCTGCTGCTCACCGGCGTTACGGCGGAGCCGGCGCACCCGGGCTACGCGGAGGGCGATGGCAGCAGCTGCGACGTGGCGGCGGTAGCGGTGGCAGAGAGGCGAGAGGAGTTCGACGGCGGGCGGATCGTGGACATCAGCCACTACTACCGGGAGGAGATGCCGGAGTGGGAGTCGGCGGACGGCACCGGCGGCGGGTTCCTGCGGCTGGTGCGGTCGATGCGCAACGGCTCCGACATCGCCAACTTCTCCGAGCTCCGCCTCACGGCGCACTCCGGCACGCACGTCGACGCGCCGGGCCACGTCTTCGACCACTACTACCACGCTGGCTTCGACGTCGACACGCTCGACCTCGCCATCCTCAACGGTACGCTTCCTTCCTTCCTAATTAGCCCACACTCATCAACTACACTATAGCTAGCTCGTCAATTATTCAATTAACGTCGTTTTTCTCATCTTTTGTGATTTCTTTTTGTCTGTATGAGCAGGACCAGCGTTGTTGGTCGATGTTCCTAGGGATAGCAACATAACAGGTACTCCGTCCGTTTTTTAATAGATGACGCCGTTGACTTTTTCTCACATGTTTGACCATTCGTCTTATTCAAAAATTTTATGCAAATGTATAAGATATAAATAACACTTAAATTACTATGAGTAATAAAACAACTCATAACAAAATAAATTATAATTACGTAAATATTTTGAATAAGACGAATGGTCAAACATGTAAGAAAAAATCAACGGCGTCATCTATTAAAAAACGGAGATAGTATAAATTAATTTCACCCAATGTCATCTGTTTACATTCTTCCAGATAAGATACTCCTTATGTTCCAAGATAAGATCATTTTTGGCATCTCCCCCTTATCCCAATATAAATTTATTTTTGAGTAATTGTTGCATCGGAGTTTGTGAAAGTAAAGGATAAATGTATTAGGAGTATAAAAAGAGGGGAATAATTGTATTGTTATTTAATAAAGTGCAAATATGCTAGTCTTTATGGTTTATATTGGTATATGTGGATTGAGTGAAAAATAAACTTATTTTGTGACAGAGGTAATACATAAGGCTTGCTTGTAATTTTATTTTACTAGAAAAAATGCTCGTGTGTTGCAAGGGGTGAAAGCTATTTTAATCTTATTATTATACGGTTTAGTTAAGGTGAAATTCACCGTGGGAATTTGCTTAGATATATATTTTTTTAAAAAATCATGAGCTGCACTTAGGAGCTCGATCCTCTCAAGTAATTCGCTTGGGAGTCCTGTCGTCTAAAGTTAGCATGCGAGTTTTTTTTAAGAGATTTCTTACACGACTCATTTTGTATTTCCCAAAGCGAACAAACTTAAAAAACCACTAAATACGGATATGTATTTCCAAAAGCGAACGAACTTAGAAACCGACTCATACACGGATAACGTACCAAAGTATCGACAAAAATATTTTCAATTTTTATAATAAGTAGAGATAAGTACGTGCACAAATTGCTACCTGTTTTGGTTCAGCATATGTCACCATCATAACATGTAGTCCCTCCGTTCCGTTCCAAAATAAGTAAACTTTTGTGTTGGGATGGAGAAAATATATACCTTTTATTATATCCTCTTACGAGCCAATCTCTGCTGTAAAAGAAAAAAAATGTAATGCAACTAATAGTTAAGAGTTTTACTTGATTTGGAGTCTCAGTAAAAAATGTTTTCAAGATTTAATAATTCTAAAATACAAACTAATAAATATACTTGGCCTAGAGTCACAATTATATTTTATCAAGTTGTGCGATTTAGAGTTTCATCAATTATAAGAGGTTAGTTTTTTAAAGGATAATTTAAGAAATCAATAATTCAGAAATAATAGTACTTTGTTGACTTAATAATTCTAAAATATATAATTAATAAATATTGAGTTGTACCCAGTCTAGAGTCTCAATCATCATTTTTTTCTATGATTTAGTAACTCTGCGGTTTAGAATTTAATAAATATTGAGGTGTGCTAAATTCTTAGTTTGAATTATTGTGTAGTTTCATTTATGATTTAATAGTTCCATAATACATAATAAATTAGTGCTGAGTTGTACTCAATTTAAGTCTCAATCATGGTGTTTTTAAGATTTAATAATTCCAAGATCTGTAATTAATAAGTACTAAGTTTTATAGTTTGGAGTTTCAATTATAGTTTTTTTATTTCATGATTTCAAAATTTGAAATTAGTAATTAATACGTCGTGACTCTTATTGTCTTCCTAGCTAAATGGATGGCTAGATTCATTCATGAAACTGCATTGATCCTAAGAAGCAAAATAAGCTAGAGGGTCCTGCATTAATTGGGAAAAATATAAAATCTTATGTTATTTTGAGAAACGGAAACAATAGTCCCTGCATTCTACATAACGTAATAGCGGCAATATAAGCAATAGATTTATCTATGAGTGTCAAGTATCAGGAAAGAAAATTACAGTGAATATTAAATTGAAATCATAGATTTCACATCAATTTAGAATAACAAAGAAACTAAATTACCATAATTAATTTATAGCAAAATTGACAAGCATACACTAAAGAAAACACTAAAATGTTCCTTCATGTTCCTGCAGCTAACGTTATGGAATCCTTGCATATTCCCAAAGGAGTTCGGCGAGTTCTCTTTCGAACTTTAAATACAGACAGGTATTGTTATTCCCATGTTGTTTTTGCACACAAAATATATATTATTTAAGGCAAAATACATTTGCATTCACACATATATTTTTACAAAGACAAACCCAACATCATGTTAAAAGGTACCATTGTAATAATGTCGTAAAAAAATATCAGAACAATCAAGTATTAATTCCAAGTATTTCATAAACAAGATATTGAAGGAAACATGTCATTTGCACATATTATTAACCGTAGTATATAGAATGAGGCACTTTGAGTTAGTTAATTTCAACAATATTGTGTTGTTTCTCTGAACTGGTCGTCCAGTACATGGCATCTGAATCAAGTATATATTTAATAAATAATATATTTAATGATTTCTATTTCACAGGAAGCTTATGTGGAAGAAAGAATTTGATACAAGCTATGTTGGTTTCATGAAAGATGGTGCTCAATGGTTGATTGATAACACAGACATTAGACTAGTTGGTATGCTAAATTAAGTTGCTTACTCTTGGTATTTAACTATGGTAGTTCTTTTAAGGTATGTTATTTGCTAATATAGTGTTGTTATAAACAAGACACGTTCATGCAAAATACATTTTTTTAATTTACAGTTGCAACCTATGTTTATGTATTATTTTGTTGTGCCATTTTCACCTTTGTTTCCTTAAGTCTGGCACCTTAACTTAGAGCAAGTTTAATAGTAGAGGTAACGCTAGCTATTAGCTAGCTTATATTAGAGCTAATATGTATAATAAATTACCAATAAGTTTAGTTTAATTGTTCCCTTCTCTCTCTTTCTCTCACTATAATTTAATGCATATATCTTAGAGCATGTGTAGAACTAGCTCTCGCAGAAGAACCAACACTTCTCACTTTTCTTTGTCTATCTTTCATGTAAGTTTACAGTTGGCTTATAGTCTACTATTATCCTCTCTCATGCAGGCGTTGACTACTTGTCAGTCGGAGCGTTTGATGAATGCATTCCTGCTCATTTAGTTTTTCTTGAGAAAAGAGTAAGATTGTTTTTTAACGTGACATATCTATATATTATTACTTTGTGTTACTATCAACCGGTCATTTTACCTTCTCTAAGGAATAAAATTTGTACTTTTCGTGACATATATCTCCCCCTTTTGTCGTTACTTGCTTAGCACAACTAAGTTTAGCTCAAATGTATTTTATATTTTCAAGTTGCTTTATAATTTCCTAAATTCCATTATACATCATCCAGGAAATTTTTCTAGGACAATTCATCCATATGTTTTTTAGGTATTGCCACTATGTCTAACTTTGAACAAATTACAATAATTCAATTGGATAGGGATGAAGGTTTTTTTTTTTGAACGACTCGCACAAGACGGTGCGAAGTTCGATTGATAGAGAAGGAAAAAATTACAAGATTACAACCCTGGAGGTTCGTAACCAGGAAAAAGAAAAAAACTATACCACCACCCACATGCCGACATCGCCAACACACAAGCCCAGGAGAAGGCTAACACCGGACTGGCCGCCGTTAAGCGTGACCGACCGCCACTAGACCAACAAAGGGATGAAGGTCTATACCCAAGATAAAGATACAATCCCAATATTAAATAGTTCACAGTAATCACTAACGTGCAATTTTACAAAGAAGTACAATTGCTAGCTCTGATATCTGGAACAGAAAAGCTTAATACATAACCCTGTCAACATATCTTAATTGAAAAACAAACATTCAATGTGAATATGAGATGTGGGGCCAGGCCCTCATGTTTATTAATGAGAAATTTTACAATTGTAAACATACATCAGTGTTTTTTAACCTAATGTCAACTTTAATTTACATTTTTTTATATATAGTAACAACTAGAGTTCCACTACTACAAACTGACATTTATAAATGATTATTCTTATCTGCATTTGCAATGTTAAGTATTATATTCTTCTTCCCTAACATTGTTTTAACACAAAATTTATAAAAATGGATGAAAGGGAATAGAGTGTATAGATGATGTTATTTGTGTGCAATGCTTTCAAGGAAAAGAAAGAAAAAATGAGTTGGTTTCAAAGTTACATGATTTTAAGGCCTAAATAACAAGAAGGTGATAATTAAAAGTGAACACACCTGGATCGTAATTTCATTAAGGTAAGAAAGTGATATAGTTTAGAAGAGGCTCAAATAACTAGTATTTTAAGTGAATTCTCGCAGGTTGGAACCTATATATTCTATATTAATTCTTGGGATGTAGATTACTTATGAAGGATGATAGTAATGTCTATATTGTTGCTTTTCAATGTAGGAAGTCATCCTTGTGGAAGCCTTACATTTAGAGCATGTTACCCCAGGAATATATACCTTGCATTGCTTGCCACTAAGGTTACGTGGTTCTGAAGGTTCCCCGGCAAGATGTATTCTCATCAAGTAACATATGCTTATAAGGTTTACATCGACATCTTATATGTGTTGAAATGTTGAATGGTGTTGATGGTTGTCAAGTCAGATGCATCCACCTAGGACATATGTATATGACAAACTATGCATAGTATTTGACACATATATATGATTGTAAAATAAGATCATGTTGCCTTCTAACAGGTTAATGTCTGTGCATCTATCAGCTATAAACTTATATATATTACTATTGTAATTGACTACCAATGTAACAGTTGGATATATGACACCAATGCTACCTCCGCAAACAAGGAAGGTTAATAAAAGCCTACTAGCGCAAAACAGAATGCCAATTTGAATCCTCTTTATTTTAATATTTAAGAGGCTATTGCTTGGCAAACCATAGATCCAAGTATCTATTTGCAACAGTATGAGGACCTATGCCTTTGTGCTTCCTTTAGCCATGGACCTTTAGCAGTGCAGTGAGATGTAGTATAGAAGGGGAAAGGGTGAGGAGATGAAGCAATGTTGTAATCGAAATACTTCATAATCTAATCAAAAGATAGATAAGTTGGAGGGGGGGGGGGGGAGGGGGAGCGGTGTGCCAAGTAGGTAGGTGAATTGGAGAGGGTTAAGGAGGCTAAACATTAAAGCGGTAGTGGCAAGTGAAATAAGGTGTCTAATATGCTCACTAGCATTACAAATGGGTGTTCTTGTGACTTTGATCCTTGAGTTTTATTTTTAAATTATCCTATTTAAGCAGCGGCGAATCCATCGATGGGGCTGGTCGGGGCTCTAGCCCCAACTTCAGCCAGCTATAGCCCATACTCCCTCCGTCCTAAAAAAAGCCAACCTCATACTAGGATGTGATACCTCATAATACAACAAATCTGAATATAATGCTAGTACGAGGTTAGTTTTTTTTTTTGAGACGGAGGGAGTAGGTGCTAACAGGTATCCGCATCCATCCACGTGCTCTAGTGAGCCATCACAGCAAGAAACAAACAAGTTGGCTTGGGAAGCAGTACTGCCTAGTGCCTGTGGTCACATATATCCAACTGGTTCTTTTATTGTAAGTGCAACCAAATACAAAAAAGGGGAAAAATGTACATTGCACCGTTTTCATATATATATTTACGGTCAACTACAATACTTGTTACTACTATTTTTTAATTCTTTATTTTGAGTTCTTTCGGATATAAATTTAAAATTTGATTGACAATTGATTGCCGTGTACATATAGTTTACTAGCTTTAGCCATGTTCTTTCAGATTTTTAGTTTTTTTGGGTACTTTCTGTGTAAATGATTATCAAACCGCTGAACATTATGATTTTTTAGAAAAAAAACTTCTTATAGAGAAGTTTCATCAAAATTCAAATAAATCAAAATTTAAACTTTATAGTAGTCAACACTTAACTAGACGACTTAATATGTTAATAGTCAACATTTAATATGTTAATTACGAAGCTTATCTGATAAGATGGGTAACTACATATCTGAAACTCTCATTTGAACAAGGCACCGCTCTATTTTCATCTTGGATTCGCCACTGATGTAGCCCTTGATCTCTGCACTGTTGGAGCCACTCCTGTTGTTGAGGGCCTCGATCACTTGCAGCTATAGAGAAATTAAAGAGTCAACCTTGCCATGGAAATTAAGATGGAGTAGGTTGTTGTTACCTTAGGGTAAGAAGGAAAAGGTGAGGATTCCAATTATGCAGTGGCGTCAACATTGACCTCCATGGATGGCTTTTGCTCGGAGGGCTTCACAGAGTCAACGACGAAAGCTTCGGTGTAGGAGATACAAGCACCATGGACTGTGACGATCTTCTCGGCAACCTTGTGTTCGGGCTTGTGTCGCCGTCTACGGCCATGCCTGATATTGGCATCCTCGATCAGGCTTGATGGGATCTGGGTGGCGGTAGTAGTTGTCCTGGGACAAGAAAAATAAGTGTAAAAACACAAGAAACACACATAAATGACCGTTTGCTTGGACACTAGAGAAACACATGAATCCGATGATTTTCCTTCAAAATTCACATGCAATGAGCCATTTTATAGAAATTTTATAGCATTAGTAAGCTCCAATCCTTTGTATCAAAGGACCAAATAGAAAAATTTCATATATGATTTGAGTCCTTTGATTCAAAGAGATCCTAATGTGTGAAATTTGTATATTAATGGTTCAAACGCACCTAAAACTTCCTATATATTTATTGTCGTATTCAAACGATAAAAGTTTTTTGTGTTTCTAATTCTATGTTAGAAATTACTATGCATACGATCCAACTGTCCGACTCACATACGAACGACTGAATTTGATCAATGGTTGTAAACAGTTGTAGTGCATATGAACATGTTCTCCTTTGATCTATAGTTGCATATCTCTAGTTGTACATGAGTTGTACAACTGGGTCATATGTATCATCTGTGTTTGTTTCCATATGAATTTCTATCATGTTCTTGTATTTTTCCTATCTCTACGATTTTACAATATACATTCCAAAGTAACCCTGAACAATTTTAAAATCTAATGACTAATCCCACCACCAACTCAATACTAAACTTTCAGTCCTCTTTTTCGAAGTTGCCAAATAGGATGCACAAGAGATACATTTTGCCTATTTTTGAAATGTGAATGATGTTTATTTTGTCTAGTTTTACTGTTAAGAGATGTAATTCTAAAACGAACCATTTTTTTTTTAAAATGAAATTTGGATGGAAAGGATACGAATAAGACAGCAGGCTGCTGGTTGGGGATCTAATAGAAACGGAGAGAAGGAATTCATTCAAATCAAAGAGTAAAAAACAAATCTTTCAAAGAAGAGCGATCGATTCGATCCATCATCCCCAATCTCGAGCCCCAAGTAAACCCTCTCCTCCTTTCCTCTCCCCGCCGCCGCTACCGCCACCGCCGCCGCCGCCGCCGCGCCGAGCCTTACTCCCATTCCTTCCCTCGATGACCGCATGAGATGTGCGGCGGCGGCACGGTCCTTCCTCCCTCTCCCCTCCACCACCCGCATCCACACCACCGCCACCGCATCGTCTCCATCTCTCGCCGCCGAGCTCGACGCCGCCGACGCCCTCCACACGCTCCTCTCCACGCTCCCGCCCTCGCTCCCCGCGCTGCTCCCCTGCCTCTCCCTCCTCTCGCCAACCCTCACCCCGCACGCCGTCTCGGATGCCCTCCTCTGCGCCGCCATCCCCGCCGCCTCCCGCCTCCGCCTCTTCCTCTTCTCCGCCCTCTCGCCGCGCCTCCGCTCCCGCCCGCTCCACGCCCACGCCGTATCCCTCCTCCTCCGACTCTCTTCCCATGCCGACGAGGCCATGTTCGACGCCCTCGCCGACGCCCGCGCCGCCGGCCTCCCGGCCTCCTCTTCCGCTTTCGCGGCACTCGTCGCCGCGCACTCCTCCGCCGGCCGCCACGCCGATGCCGTCCAGGCGTTCTCCCGGATGGATGAGTTCCAAAGCCGCCCCACCGCCTTCGTCTACAACACCATCCTCAAGGCCCTCGTCGACAGCGGGGTCATCCTCCTCGCCCTGGCTCTCTACAACCGGATGGTCGCCGCCGGCTGCGCGCCCAACAGGGCCACGTACAATGTACTCATGGACGGGCTGTGCAAGCAGGGTATGGCGGGGGATGCGCTCAAGATGTTCGACGAAATGCTTGACAGGGGGATCATGCCCAATGTGAAGATCTACACCGTCCTGCTCTCGTCCCTGTGCAATGCAGGGAAGATTGACGAAGCCGTGCAGCTTCTGGGGTCGATGAAGGACAAGGGGTGCCTGCCCGACGAGGTCACTTACAACGCCTTCTTGAGTGGTCTGTGCAAAGTTGGTAGGGTCAATGAGGCATTTCAGCGCCTGGTGATGCTGCAAGATGGTGGATTTGCACTGGGGTTAAAAGGGTATAGCTGTTTGATTGATGGTCTGTTCCAGGCCAGGCGTTTTGATGAGGGCTTTGGCTATTACAAGACAATGTTAGAGCGCAACATCTCACCAGACGTTGTTCTGTATACGATAATGATCCGTGGTTGTGCAGAGGCCGGCAGAATTGAGGATGCCTTATCATTCCTTGATGTAATGAAAAAGAAAGGTTTCGTGCCTGACACCTTTTGTTATAACACAGTGCTCAAGGTTCTATGTGATCACGGTGATCTAGAGAGAGCTCACACGTTGAGGTCAGAGATGTTGCAGAATAACTTGGTCCTAGACTCCACTACACAAACTATCATGATATGTGGACTGTGCAAGCGAGGACTTGTTGATGAGGCAATGCAGATTTTTGATGAGATGGGAGAGCATGGTTGTGATCCAACAGTTATGACATACAACGCACTCATTGACGGATTCTACAGGGAGGGCAGACTGGAGGAAGCTCGTATGCTTTTCCATAAGATGGAGATGGGAAATAATCCTTCCTTGTTCCTTCGGTTGACCCTCGGTGCAAACCAGGTGTGTGACAGTGAGAGCCTCCGTAAACTGGTTCATGATATGTGCCAATCTGGCCAGGTGCTAAAAGCATACAAACTTCTTCGAAGTATAATAGACAGTGGAGTCGTTCCTGATGTTGTCACGTATAACACATTGATAAATGGACTCTGTAAAGCGAGGAATCTTGATGGAGCAGTAAGGCTCTTCAAAGAGCTTCAACTCAAAGGAATTTCTCCTGATGAAATCACTTACGGGACTCTTATTGATGGGCTGTTGAGGGCGCACAGAGAAAATGATGCCATGATGTTGTTTCAGAACATTTTGCAGAGCGGTAGCTCCCCGAGTTTGTCAATCTACAATTCTATGATGAGATCGCTATGTAGGATGAAGAAATTGTCGCAAGCAATCAACCTCTGGTTGGATTACCTGCCAAAAAAGTACAATTTCCCAGTGGAGAGTGAAGTACTTGCTAATGCCCACAAAGAAATTGAAGATGGTTCCCTGGATGATGGAGTAAGGGAGTTAATCAAGATAGATCAAGAATATGGTTATATTAGTTCAAACCCTTATACCATTTGGCTAATTGGGCTTTGTCAGGTAAGGAGAACTGATGATGCACTTAGGATTTTTCATACTCTTCAGGAGTTTGGCATTGACATCACACCAGCATGCTGTGCCCTTCTTATCAATTACTTATGTTGGGATAGAAATCTAAATGCGGCAGTTGATATTATGCTGTATGCATTGAGTAAATCCATCATTTTGTCACAACCTGTAGGCAACCGCTTACTTAGGTGGCTTTGTATCTGTTACAGAAGGCAGGATGCACAAGCTCTTGCATGGAGAATGCATCTTGTAGGATATGATATGGATGTATATCTCCGTGAGCCTACAAAAAGTTTGTTATACAGTCAATAGAAAAGTCTGTAGTGTTTGTAGGACTACAGAGCTGCCCTGAAGAGGGATGCTGATGTTTTTGTTCTGTACCAATTTTCTAAGGAAGAAAGCAAAATAGGGTGTTATTTACTGATTTCTTAGCTCTTGCAAGGGATTTTGTAACCATCAGTTGAGTTGTAACTTCAATAATGAGTCAAATTTTTTGATGTTCCACAGTCTATCATAGACCTCTTGTTGATCCGGTACAATTAATGTGCTGTTACTCAGTAGGCTGAGATATTTGCATTCTACTACCTCCGTTTTAGGTTATAAGACTTTCTAGTATTGCCCACATTCATATAGATGTTAATGAATCTACATGTGTCTAGATTCATTAACATCTATATGAATGTGGGCAATTCTAGAAAGTCTTATAATATGAAACGGAGGAAGTAGTAAATTTCACATGTCTCAGCTGCAACAAGAATGCAATAATATTTAAAGTTTTTAGTTATGCTTTTTCATTGATCTTGAGCTATTCTTTGTATGCGATAGACATCATCGGTTTTTCCCTATTTATTATCCTCTTTGTGTGGGTCTTTGTATATCGTCTTGTCATTCTGGAGGTGAAAATGGGCTGGTAGTGTAAGTTGCAGCCTTGCAGGTAAAACATTACTTATATGATATTGTTTCCCCTGCTTCCGTATTTTATTGTGAAAATTGCACATAACCTGTATATGATATTCTTGTTTCTTCTGTTCTAATCCGCAGTTTCTTTTTCATATCTTTATCCATGAATCTTAAAAGTTGATGGTGTTCTCAATCAATTTTTTCAGGTATGTTCAATCATTTTGAAACAGAGCTACATATCTAATGCCATTAATATTTTTCGGTACTTGTTGTATGGTTAATGGCATTCAATTAAGAAAATAACCTAGAAGAACTTGATGAATTACAAGCAAATTACTGAGTGGTTAATGGTTATATCCAATATTAGTTCTTAGTCAAGTTTTTTAAGGCCCTGTTTGGAAGACATGAATTTACATGTCTACAGGAAGTTCCCATGCCCCAACTCCCAGATGGGGCCTAAATGTCACATACAGATGTCAGGGTTTTTCTTGCCTTGATTTGCCCTGAACTGATCAACTAAATCTGACTGTTGATCTAGCTTTTTGATGTGCCATTTAATTGAATGTTGGAATGTTGCACACTTGCACCTTGTATATACAGCATCATATTTGTGTAGAGGAGTATCGTTTATTACCACTACATAGTAGTTGTGTGGTCAATGGTCTAAAGAAATTGTGATTGTATAAAATCAACTAAAAAACATAAAAAAGAATTTGATTAGTTGCAACCAAGTTATTCAGTGTTCAATGGAATATTAGAGTTTAATCCATGACATACCTTTTGATTGTACTTAACTGAGCTACTTGTTCTGGTTACCAATGTAGTGTCTGGAGGTGACAAAGAATATTCTATGAAGGACCACAAGTCACATGCCTATGATGTACATCATACCATACCATAACCTTCATAATATGGTATAAACCTTTACATTATTTAACATCCAAGGGAAGTTGAAATGAGACATTGCTCCTTCTATACAGCTATCATTAAGACATCTGCACTATAGAGCATGCAATGTATTAGGACATTCAAATGCTTTTGTGATATTTGAGATGTGCAAATACTCTGTTTCTCGAATTACAGGCCTTCTCAAGCATCTGACAGCCAATTGAATATTTGGACAAAGAGTACCCCTGTGTAAGTTTTTTTGTTCCTTTTAGTTCAGATGGATAACTCTAACATATAGTTCCTTTTCTAACATGGTCTTTGTGCGTCTGCTCTTTACAGATGAGGACCCTCTCATATCTCAGAATTTTATTTAGTGTGTTCTTGGATATCAGGAATCAGAAGCTTAGGATGATCGGGAAGGCAACCTGATTATAGCTGCAGATAAAGGTGATAATCTTTATAAATTGTTGCATTCTATAACTAATTGTTTGCTTGTTGGCTTATAAGTCGCTGCTGGAATTGAATTTTAAAACTTGATTTTTAAGTTGGTTGTGAAGTGTTTTCATAGTTTTCTATTTTCCAGCCACGGCTTTTGAATCGCCAAGAATAGACGGATAAAGGTCTTACCCTAATATTTTTGGTTGCTTCATTTATTTTTTTTATGGCTTATATGATTTCTATAGCTATTGCCTATTAAATTGTGGCCATCTACTCCCTCCAGTTTGGATTGTCAATAAAGCCTGTCTCTGGCATATACTTGATGGCTTGTACTCTTAGTGAACCAAGCCCCAGCTTGGCTTGATTAGGCTCAAATACATATGTGTTTGTAAAGTGAGCCTTATCGGGTTACGTGCAAGCTTATCTGAGCCTATTCTATACTCACACAGCACAGTATTGCCTTATTGAGCCAAGATCAAACCTATTACCTATTCAAGCCTACAATATATTATATTGCATAAAAAAATATTATATAATTGCATTGATGAAGTTATTCAAAGTTCAACTGAGGTCAGCTACTCAGCTCGAACCACCGACTCATTGCTCAGGTCAGCTTGCTGACGTCCTTTTCTAAACCCTGTCCTATTGGGGTTTTTTTGAGTCCTTTTGAATCTTTCCCTCCTCAATATAATGATGCGCAGCTCTCTTGCGTGTTCAAGAAAAAAAAAAAGCTTGCTGATGTCCTTTTCTAAGTGTAACCAAACTTTATAAACTTTAGCTATTCTACAAAAAATTGAATTGGACATAGAAATGAAATGCTAATGTATGCCTCAAAAAGTTCTTTCATAATATTTATAATTGTATCACATGTTACAAATATTTTGTAAGAGAAACTAGAAAACATGTGTGTTGGAAACTATGTTGATGCTCAAAATCTGCCCTTTTATGAGAGAGAGTATGTGGTGGGAGTGGGACATACTTACATGGTGTAAACCATTGCTAGCTGTCTATTTAACCTCTTCTATAGGGTGTTATCTGCATTGTTCCTGTAGTTGCCTTGGGTACATGTTGGCCCGTTGCCTTGGGTACATGTTGGCCCATTGCAGTCCAAGTACATTTGCCATAACATGATATATGGTGAGCCCTTGTTTGGGTTAGGGGTTAGGATTTCTTCCCATCCACCAACCCTCATACCCACCTAGGCCCCCAGTAGCCTGAGCCTGCTACTGCTGGTCCAGAGCCCATTCTCCTTTGCTTTGCTTCACACGCGTGTGCACGCTGTCTGCTCCATGGGCACGGGGCTATGTCACAGGACAACACCAGATGTGGGCACACTACCTGGAGCTATGAAATTTCCTCAAAAGCTTTTTAAAAAATAGTCATATGTAGGGGAGGTGAATAGTACAACCATAAAAAATCTCTAAATAAAAAATATAATTTCGTTTGTAACAACAAATAAAGAATCGCACATCCTGAATGCAGTTTGCCAATTCCATATCTCAACCAAAATCGAGTTTGCACTTATAATTCTACATATGTTGTTTTTCTGAAAACTTTTATAGAGTGGTTTCCATGGTTTGTACCGTGGTAGCTTTCATCATATATTTTCATCAACTGTTGCTGGAGTGTTTCTGTCCTTGATGAACATTTTGATTTACGATCGTTTTGTGGCATGGCATCATCCGGAATCCAGTTTAAATGATATTTGTTTATAAATTTTCGTTTTATGCATTGATGTTATTTCTGTTAACTAATTTTTAAACCTTGGCACTCATTGGGTCAGGTATTGCCCTTGGCTACAGCAAGAATAAAGGAGCCAGTCAATCTGGTAAACAGGTAAGTTTAGTTTTGAAATGGGGAATCAAATTTGGTTTCATTGTTCTGGAACACTGTAGTATTAATTACAGATTCAACTTGATGCTGATAAAAAGTTACAAAATTAGCAGTTTAGCACTAACAGCAATTATACACTAAGAGACTAACTAAAGGGGTGGAAACCTAATATTACTATGAGCATTGACTCGAAAGCGCCTGGCTCTATTCGATGGCCATGCCGCCATTTTTGTTACTCTTGTTCTCGCCTCCTCCTGACGTGCCCTAGCATTCTGATGGAGCAGCAAAGTATTTATCTTTAGGCATGCTTGTTAGTGCTACACATTACAGTAGTGTTATTTTTAGAAGAAATGAACTTCCCTTCCTTCCTTATGGTACTAACTGAAATGCAAAATATTTTCTGGTGTTTCTTGACATCGTGATTACACTTGTAGTGTAGATCGATTTTTTTTCTTCAAATATGAATCCTCTGTCTAATGTTAGCTGTGAAATCCCTAGTGATGATTGGCCTCTTTCTTGATGTTCATTAAGATCATTTAAATGTGCCACCACGTTGTATTTATTGACCAGTGTCACTGTCAACTGGTCACAATTGTTTGAAACAATTTAGATTTGGAACTTGGAATACAACTTCTGAAATGGAGACAAGTGCTAAGATTTCAACAGGTCAGTTGGCCTAATCCACTATCTGTTGACCCCATAGAAGAAAAACCCTCCAATTCTGCTGTATGAAAGTAATACACGCTGACAAAAGAGGTTCTATTTGCCGAATCTTCTCCCTTTTCCATTTAGCAAATGCCCTGCTCTGTGCATGCTTGTGCTTTCCCACTTGACAAATGGCAATTCGATCTTAGTGGTAAGCATAAAAATTAAACCAAGCATTTTTGTCGTCAATATTATTACTGTAGTTTTAGAACATTGGAATAAACACAGCATAGCTGGATTGTATCTAGCTTATCCAAACAGTAGATGGTCTGTGTTTGAGAAAAAAAAACTACCAAAATGCCTGTGTTTTTGGATATCCATAGACTTACGTATGTTTTGATTTTTGACCATTGTTTTGCATAACAGGTAGAAAGTGTTTAATCTTATAAGATCATCCTCAATGAGGGCTGTAATGACGTTCTTTTCATGTTATGTATTTATGTTCTTTTGTATTATTATTATCCAATAAACTTAACAAAACTACACTTTATAATTAGAATAAAAAGTAGTAGTTTCACAAGACTTGATGCATAATCCTTGGCTTTGTTTGAAAAAAAATATCAAACAACTGCATTTGCAAGTAATAGTTTGGCAAGACTATACCGTTGGTAGCACATTGTTTAACATAAGTAATATGTTAATTATATTTTTCCCTAAAAGTATAGTTTCATAAAACAGCTTGCAAGTAAATAAAAGTGCAGTTTGTGAAGCTATCTGTAGTGTGTGATGTTTTTTGGGGGGCATTAGAGGTGTAGTTTCTTTTAACATATTTAGCGTAGTTTTATTTGTATTGTGAGCATGAAATAGGGCAGGTGGTTTCACTTTTACCAAGATCTCCAAAGTAATCTTTTCATCATTTTCATAATGTGTAATGGTACGTGAAGGTAAACGTTACACAGCCAGCAAGAGGAAGCATATATTAGTATAAACTGTATGCAAATAAAGAAACAAATGACACATGAGTACGTACAAGGTGCAGCTAGGGAGTGGGCACATTTTGTTCCTATGTGCGTGGTTGGTGCCCATCTCCCAAGTCCCAACACCATTTGGAGTTTTCTCACACAAACAGAATATTTCTGGGATCCCTTGTCTGCATTTGCATCAAGAGATGGTCACGGGTGATGCTGCACTGCAATTGCATGTGCATATGCTTGTGCTTGCTCTCTCTACCTAGTTACTATGTTTGTTCTTTTTATTAATCCTGAAATGTATATTGCTACAAGAAGAGAAAGAAAAAAAAAGGTGTATATTGCTACAAGAAGAGAAAGAAAAAAAAGGTTAAGCAGCAAAGTATTCATGTAGTTCAATTGAATAATACATCAGAAATTGATTAGCACCAGTTGATTGCTAATTTCAAGGTTTGGAGGTAGAAAGAAATTAGTGAAAAAAAGCAGCAAAGCTTTGATGTTGACAACAGAATGCTTTGATGCTTTCTAGGTTTGATGTTGTTGGTCCCAAATTGCTCTGCTCTTAGCTAGTACTCCATGCATATCATGGCCATATGCAAATGAATAATCAACTCATATTAACAGGCAAAGATAATATGATGGTATGAACAAAACACACCAATTCCTTTCAGAAATTGGGCTGGAAAACCATGGCAAAACCAACAGCGAGCAAACTACTACATGCATGGTGCAAAGCATCAAGAACTCAACAAGTTTACAGGTTTGGGACATGGAGGAGAAAAAAGAGATGAAGAATGAACGGCGTGCGTGCGTCACTGAGCCGACGACGACGGCGACGGTATCCTGTCCATCGCCGCCACCACCTCCTTCATGGACGGCCTCTTGTGCGGCGCCATGGCGCAGCACGCGAACCCCAGCCGGAGGCAGCTCGCCAGCGCCTCCTCCCTCCCGGCCATCTCCCCGCGCAGCGCCGCGTCGGCCAGCCGGAACACCTGCTGCCCGCTCTCCTCCGCGGAGCTCCACTGGCAGAGCTCCAGGCTCGTCAGCGCGCGCCCGGCGACCAGCTCGAGGAGCACCATGCCCAAGGAGTAGACGTCCCACTTGGCGTTCGCCTTGGGGTTCTTCACGCCCTCCGGCGCCTGGTACTGCGCCACCGCTGTGTCGCCGGACCCGGACGGCCCCGCCAGCGGGCTCGCGCCCGGCGGCGGCGACAGGTCCGGCAAGCTCTTCGCCGACCGCTTGCTCCCGAACCGCCCCGCCCCCGCCGCAGCCGCCGGCTTGAGCGTGTCCCCGCCGCGGATGAGCCGGTGGATCCCGAGGTCCGCCAATAGCGGCTCCATGTCGGCGTCGAGCAGGATGTTGCTGGGGCGAACGTTGCCGTGCACGAACTTCTTGTCGTGGAGGAAGGCCAGCCCTCTCGCCACGCCGCGCGCGATGCGCAGCCGCGAGCTCCAACTCAGGCTGATCGGCGACGACCCCGTCTTCCCTGAAGTGCACAAACGCGAGTTAGCAACGCGCGACGCGGCGGCGGCGGCGATGGCGATGCTTTGGGCTTACTCTTGACGGAGATGTTGGCGAGGCTGCCATTGGCGGCGAAGTCGTGGATGAGGAGCATCTCGTCGGGTCCCCAGTAGAAGCCGCGGAGGCGGAGGATGTTGGCGTGGCGGAGCCTGGCGATGGCGCGCATGTGGGCGTCGAACTCGCTGAACCGCCTCACGCCGGCGTCGTCGCTGCCGATCCTGCGCACCGCCAGCACGGCGCCGTCGGCCAGCACCGCCTTGTACACGATGCTGCTGCCCGCCGCGCCCAGGATGTACGCCGACGCCTTCAGCAGCGTCTCCATCTCCAGCTCCACCTCTCCGTCCACCGTCACCAGCACCGCGCCGCCGCCGCCGTCCTTGCCCTTCTTGTCGTCCGTCTTGGCCTTGGCGGCGACGACGCCCTCCTTGGACGCCGACGTGTCAGTCACCTCCTCCGTGCTGTCGCTCTCGTCTCCGGCCTTCTTCCGCAGGCAGCACGACAGGCTCCGGCCGATGCCGTCCGGCGACTCGTCGGGCTCCGGCTTCTTGAACACGACGCCCATCCTCTGCTTCGCCGCCTCCTCCCGCTGCCTCTTCTTCCTCACCTGGTACACGTACATGAACACCACCACCAGGACGGCGATGCCGGCCACGTCGCCGGCGGCGATGGCGATGATGGTGGCCATCCTCATCCTGCCCTGCTGGCCTGATCCTGACGCCGGCGCTCCGGTGTCATCGCCGGGCAGCGCCTCGGTGGGGTTCTTGGGTATCGCCGCGATGGCCGGCGGCGAGCGTGCCGTGCCATTGATGGGTGGATCCGCGGCGGAGGCGCAGAGGCTGTCGAGCGGCCTCCCGCACAGCTCGGCGTTGCCCGCGAACGCCGTGGGCCTCTGCACGGTGAAGGGCGCCAGCGTGGGAATGGCGCCGGTGAGGTTGTTGTAGGAGAGGTCGATGGTGACGTTGGGCGGCAGGCGCGACGCCATCTCCGGCGGGATGGCGCCGGCGAGGCGGTTGGAGGAGAGGTTGACGTAGCGCAGCGCGGCGCCGCCGAAGTCCGGCGGGAGCGTGCCGTTGAGGAGGTTGGAGCTGACGTCGAGCACCTGCAGCGCCGGGAAGCCCCCGACGGGGAGCGCGCCGGAGAAGAAGTTGTTGGCCAAGGAGACGGCGGTGAGGTTGGGGAGCAGGGTGAGGTTCGCCGGGATGGGGCCGGAGAGGGCGTTCCCGGCGAGGTTGAGCGCGCGGAGGCTGCGGAGCTGGCCGACCTGGTCGGGCAGGGCGCCGTTGATGCCGTTGCCGGCGAGCGAGAGCACGCGGAGCTCCGGCGCGCGCAGCAGCTCGACGGGGACGGTGCCGTTGAGCGCGTTGCCGGAGAGGTCGAGGTGGCGGAGGTGCTCGATGAGGCCGAGCTCCCTGGCAATGGGGCCGACCAGCTGCGCGTTGGGCAGGACGACGCTCACCACCCTCGCCGCCTCCGACGCCGACGACGACGGGAAGGCCATGCAGACGACGCCGTTCCAGGCGCAGGGCGTGTCGTCGGAGTAGCCCCAGCCGGCGAGGGAGGCGAGCGGGTCAGCCAAGAGCGAGAACTTGAAGGAGAGGAGCAGCACGCCGTCCTGGTTGAGCGCCGCCGCCGTCGGCTGGGTCATGTGGCCGGCGCCAAGGAGGAGGAGGAGCAGCAGCAACGAGATCGCCATGGACGACGACATGGAATGGAGATGCCAATGGCATGCATGGAGATTTGAGGGCATAAGAAGGGAATGAGGGTTTTGGATTGGTTAGGGATAGTAGGATGGTAGTTCACCAAAAACTCTCTTGTTGTAAAGAGGGAAGGAAGAGAAGATGGTTGGATAGATAGCTAGGCTCTACTCACTCTAGAGTGAGTGAGTGGAGTGGAGTAGTAGTAGATCCCCCCCTCTCTCTCTCTCTGGGGCTCTGTCTGACTAAAGTAGTATCAAAAGGGGTCTGTCTGTCTCTGCCCCTCTTTCTATGTTGTCAAAAGGGGTTATGAGGGATGAAAGGGAGTGTTCAATCATGCAAGAATGTGAATGAATAAATGAGTGAAATGGATAGCTCATCATCACCCTTTAGAGCAAGTTTAATAGTGTCGCCCGTTTGATGGGCTGAAAATTTGTACACGTAATTAATAGATGGTACTAATAGATGATACGTATAATAACTAGCTGCTAAGTTATCTACCCACACCTCTCTAAGCAGTTGATTTTTATTTTTTTAATGAGACTTGTTTCTTTCTACCCAATCTTTGATGGAGCAATGGTTAAGTCATTGGGCAAAATCTAGGACTGAGGGCTGGTTCTCAGGACTTACATCGTTTCCTGTGCTGGAGCTCAGCGATTGCATTAGCGCCCACTGCCTTCTCTCTCCGGTTTTCTCTCTCTTCCACCTATGATTTCTATGATGTGGATGCTTGTGTCGCCGGCTTATCGTACTCTATTATACCTGCTCTTAGTGGATATCCATGAATTGAATTGAATGATTCCTAGTGGTATCAAGAAATTTTGAGGCTGTTGTGGAATTGGCATGGTGAGGTTGTTTGTTTGATGCTAGATGCTTTTGTTTGCCAACTTTTGGGCCCCCACATGCATGGATGGATGGAGTTGTTGTTGTTTTTTTTTTAAAAAAAAGAATGGGGCTGATGGATGGATGAAGGATTGGGGGTATTGGTAAAAAGGTGCATGCCAGCCAGCCAGTTCTGGTCTGGTATACTTTGGTCCAATCCATTGCCAAGGGGTGGCCTTTCACAAAGAGAGAGAGAAAAAAAAGAGAATAGGATATGGCTGAATCATGAAAAGGGGTATGCATACAAGCATGCACAAAATACGGCCCTGTTTAGATGGGACTAAAACTTTTAAGTCCCTATCACATCGGATGTTTGAAAATTAATTATAAATATTAAACGTAGACTATTAATAAAACCCATCCATAATCTTGGACTAATTTGCGAGACAAATCTAATGAGCCTAATTAATCCATGATTAACCTATGTGATGCTACAGTAAACATTCTCTAATTATAGATTAATTAGGCTTAAAAAATTTGTCTCGTGAATTAGCTTTTATTTATGTAATTAGTTTTGTAAGTAGTCTATATTTAATACTCTAAATTAGTGTCTAAAGACAGGGACTAAAGTTAAGTCCCTGGATCTAAACACCACCTAAACTATTTTGTCCATGAAAAGGCAGGGAGTCGACCTGTGACATATATATGTTGGGTCCTGTCTTCTGTCACTTGTGTAACCCTTTTTGTTTTCCCCTGATCGAACGCTCGAAGCGTGTGCATTTTGTATCACTGTGTATGTATGTGTAGGGCACAAGCTGAAAGCATGTAAATATATATGTAGACCAGGACTAGAATAATTTCACAAAATTGCAAGTTAGCTGCACAGGAGCCCAACTCCTCGGCTGCAAATAGAATCATCATCGTCTTGTAGGTCTCCTTTGGATTGAAGAAATTTTTGCTCCCTTTGTCTCAAAAGTATGATGCTATTAATTTAACACATAATGTTTAACCTTTCATCTTACTTAAGAGAAATATTTAAATATCATTTATTTTGTTGTGATTTGTTTTATCATCAAAGAAATATAATCTTAACTTATATTTTTACATATTTATACTAATTTTTTAATAAAACAAATGATCCAATGTTATGAAAAAAATTAATAGTGCAATATATTTTAGGACAGATGTAGTACGAAATACGATGGAATTAAATCCATCCGAAAGTTTTGCTTTGAGAGCCTTTAGATGGTAGAATTGATTCATATGAATTTCATGGGATAGGGGAATTTCCTCTGTATTTTTAATTTGATTGAAAACCTTAGAAATCTTGTAGGATTCTAATCCTATAGGATTTTTTTCTATATGGTCCTTTGAAATAAAATGATTGAAAACTGTTGGATCCTATGAAATTCCTAATTAGGCCTCCTTTGATTCATAGGAATTTCATAGGAAAAATATAGGATTTAGGATTTGGCACTGTAGCAGCCTTTGATTCACATGATTAGGGCACAGGAAAGTTAGATGAAGTTTTCCTTTGGAACTTATTTTCACGGGGAAAACATAGGAAAAGAAAACATCCATCCTAACCTCTTTTTTCCATGTAGGATCTAGGTAAATGACAGATCTGTGCATCATTGTTATTCTTTTAGAAGAAAATGTACATTGCGATATTATGGATTAGACCAAAATGACATGTATTAATACACTTCCTAGCATTCCGTTTCCTGTGAAATTCCTATACCCTTTCAAACGACTAGTAACACAACTTTCCTATGTTTTACAATTCTCTATTTTTACCGTTACATTCCTACAAGATTTATGTATTTTTCCTATTCCTATGTTTTTTTATCCTATGTTTCAAAGGAGTCCTAAGGATCAGCTCAGTCCATATAAGTTTTGGAGGATTTTTAACATGAGGTCCAACCTCATGGAAAGTTTCCTATGAGTCTATCTCTTATCTAATTCCCATGTTTTTCTAGTGGTTCGATCAAGTGACCATTTCTGTATTTTTATGTGTTTTACAATACTTTGTTTTTTTTAGTATAATTCCTTACAAAATCCTATATTTTTCATATTCTTTTGTTTTCTCAATCCTTCGATTCAAATGGACCCTTAGAGGAATTCTACCAAGAGTTCTAACTTTGTGTTTTCAATTCCTTTGAATGTCTCAATATGCACCTTTGAATCAAAATCCTAGAGAAATGAAATCCTCCAAAATTTCTACAATTTTCCTTTAAATCAAAAGGGGGCCTTATCTCTATTTCTCTCCCTCCTCTCACTAGTAAATCAATATACAGTTTTAAAACTTCCTGTACTTTTCATGTGAGACACACAAATATCTACCTTGTACAATTCCTGCAGGATTCAATAAGCCATGACATCCTGATCTCCTTTGCTTTTAAAATTCTAGCGTTCCAAAGGAGCCCGTAGTATAAAATGTAGGCCAGAGGAAGTGTTTGGAGAGGGCTCCAGCCAAACTTGAGGCTTTATATATATCGGTGTAAGTTTATTCTAGAATTGTCACGAAACAATAGCTGATCAAACTGCTATTGAAATCAAGCTGTTGAATACGACAGTTGTAATTTTGTGGGAAATGTCAAGCTCCTGAAACAACTGCTATACTACATACAATCTGGACCTAGGAGTGCACTAGTTCAGTTACGTACACCCTAGTGCATATATATACTCTCATGTTTCATAATTCTTACATGTTTTAAACAAGGTCAAGATTAAATAATTAAAACTTTAACTATCAATAACCTTTATAGTTTGAAGACATTTGACATGATGTATAGATTAGTCTAAAAAGTACTTTAATAATAAAATTACACATTTATTTAATTCTGTTATACTATAATAGAAAAAATAATAGTTAAGACATGTCATGAGGATCGTGTTATTATCTAAAACGTAAATAGAAAGAAGTAGTAGTACATTTGTAAGAATACGATGCCCTGGCAACAAATTAAAAAGATGGAGTGAGAGTGATATGTGAATGAACTGTTCTAAAGAAAGAGAAAGTGAATGAACGGAATACACATATTCAGACTTAAGATTTTCCGCTCTTAATTTCTTGAGAATGGAGCAGAGTCGGCAGGCACACATGTGAGTCAACAGTAGTGGAGGTGTGGCCTGTGGAGTTTTGGGCTGTGAAGGTCATTGACTCCAACAGTTTTTCAGAGGGTGCATGCAATGGGCAGTGCAGGGCTGCAGGCTCGGTATCAAAAAGGACTAGTCCAGCTTTGTCTTTGTCCAACCAAATGTACATAAAAAACTATATATAGATTTGTGAATGGAGGCAGGCAGCCAACGCAAGAGGCAAGGGCCATGCCATGCCTGCCTGCCTTGTGGGCTCATCCTAACCTATCGAGGATCTATCCTCATATGTGCAGTTAACACTTATATTAGTATCACATAACAGGGGTGTGTTTAGTTCCACGCCAAAATTGAAAGTTTGATTGAAATTGAAACGATGTGACGGAAAAGTTAAAAGTTTATGTGGGTATAAAAGTTAGATGTGACGTTTTTGGGTTCAAGGTTTGGAACTAAACTCGGCCTAGGCTGAATTGACGGATCACAACTAGTGGGCTCAGCTAGCTAAGGTAGGGTTTATTATTTTGGTTAAGTTAGCATAGAATGATAAAGCAGTACCACTGCTGCGTTAATGTAAGAGCAAATCCCTTGTGTACCTTGAAAACTCACTTAATCCCTTTCATATCCCTAAAATTTACCCAATCCCTTCTATACCTCTGAAATTTTAACTTGATCCCTTCCATGTCCCTACCGTTACATTTTCCTTTATTTCACTACTACGTTTGGTTGCAAATGTCTTTTTTGCCCTTGATGCTTTAGGTTTGAATATAAGTTTGAAAAACGATATAAAATTTTGTTTGAGTGCACAATATGTGCATTTTATGAAACTAATGAGACTAAATAATTTGTGCAGAAAATTTTGACATAAATTTTGCAAATAAAACAAATGTAATAAATTAAAATTTTTATTTGAAATTTTAATAGGACAATGGATATTTTTTATCGAAAGCATTCATTAAAAAATTATTGTGAGCATTGGTAGTCCTATCTTTGTATCAATTCTCCTCATTTTTATGACTTTTCTTAAAAATATATACATATTTTTTATTTCTTTATCTAAAAATAAATTTTGTGATAAATAATGCATCGCACAACAAACTCATAACTATAATAGTCTCATGCGACAAACTTTATGTTTTTAATAATGTAATTCATGATTTTCTATGTTTATCCAAAGGGTAAAATGGTCATTTTTATAGAAATTAGACGGTCAACTAATGAGAGGGGTATGGAAGGGATCAAAATCAAATTGTAGGGGTATACAAGGAAGGAAGCGAAATTCAGGGGTATAGAAGGGATTAGCTAAAATTTAAGGGGTGTAGAAGGGATTTTCTCTTAATGTAATGTTGCCGTGGAAGGCGGTGCCACATATCCTATCAGACAGTGCTATGGTCTTGGAAGAGAGAGGATGAAATGGGGAATGGGCCTTGTGCATCCTCCGTCCATATATTAACTATTGCATGCCCTCAATGCTCAAGCTTGCCTCCCCAAGTCTTCCTTGGAGAAATTATTCGAAAACTCTTGCGTCGCCCTCC